ACCTTGTGTTAATTTTAACACGTGAAAGAACTCACCAAGAAAAACAACTTTTCTATGTAACATTTTGCAAAATTCTTATTAATTGTTTTTATTGTTTTGCTACATAATTTTGTGTAAATTAGCCGCCCAATGTTATTAAATAATCACAATAATGCAGTTTCAAGTAGTTACGTGTCTATCACAACGAAAACATTTCGGAGTTTTTAATTTGACAATTTCTCATAAGCAAGTATACGTTTTGATATGTCATCTTTCCAAATTTTAAATCAAATTTGAAAGCTTTTATTGAAAAATTACAAATAAAAAAAATGTATTATTTATCAAGATGTGTTACATGTTAAAATTAACACACATATTTCTGATACACCCTGTATATTGTGGCTTATCACCAGTGTTAGGCAGTCGGGATAAATTTACCTTGCGCTATAGCGGTGCCGTTGTGCACTTTTCTGCGAGTCAAATTTCCGAAGTGTAATCACTTAATTTTTGAGTCTCGCGCAATAAGGTAAACCTGTCAAGGACTGTTGCACTGTTACCACATTTTAATAATTTTAATAATTGTTATTTTAATATTTTTAGTGAAACTCAGGTACATGTTACATTACAGTAGTAAGTACCCGGCTTTCAATGTTTATTTTACTCAGTTTTTATTAACGAGTTCAGATGCTGTTTTTATCACAATATTCACAAAAACTTTTTAAAACGGTAACTTAATTAAATCAGATCCCGTGAAAATATTGTTTTAATTATGCATATTTTATAACTTGATGAATTTTAAAAATACTGCCCGTGAAACCAAGCATCAGATTAAAAAAATATATTGAGTGTAGCTTTCTGTTATTTTTGAGGTAGGTAGTGATGTTATAATAATAATTATTTTTATTTGTGTCGGTGGAAGCCGTGCGTGATGGAATCGCAAAATTACTTTCGCAAATGGTCGTTTTCGTTGTCGATGCGTCGTATAAATCATGGAGCACACATATAAAAGAGAGAAAAAGAGAAGAAAAAAATGATGAGTAATATTGTGTCTAAGTTCGAAGCAGCGCGAGATGTGTGTAAATATGTTTTACGAGTTACTTTTTTCTGTAGCGAGGCGTAGATCAGGTGCGGACCTAGAGTGAGGTCTTCAGCTACTTCTAACGAAAGACCGGGAGGCATAATCCACAGGAGACAAAGCTGTTCTTATCTGTGTTGTCTATCAGTTCGGACGGATATCCTCCAGTAAAGTCAATCCGCATTCCAAACAGGCAAGATAAGTGTGGTCGGTCTCGCGTCTCGAATATTTAATTCGAAACGGTCACCGTTAAGTAAATCGTCATTATAAACATCCTAATTTCCGTATTTACGATTGTGTTTGCATTCCTTCGGCGGTAATTTTAGAAGCGCTCGGCGCCCTCGTCTTCTCCGTCCTCCTGCGGCCAACTTTCCGTAAACATATCTTTCACCGTGACAGATAACTAACGACACTTTGTGTGTTTTTTAATTTTTCCTTTTGTCATCGTCAATGCTGGCAGCCAGATTTTCAACGTGTCGTTAAAATTCTTTTCATTGTTACGCGACGGTGTCACCGTCCATAAATTGATAAGAGCAATGTCGTCGCATTCAATCTAGAGACGAATTAAACGCAATATAAATACGTTATTATCGCAGCACGTTAAAGGGGTTTAAAAAGCTGACTCAAAAAATCTCCACGGCCATATATCTTTATCTCCACGGCCGGAGTAATCTTTTAATTCACTTAAGTGAATGCAAATGTCTCGTGGTCTTGTCGAAACGATTTACAGGGGAACATTTTTGGCAGCTGCTGGCGTTCTGACAACCTTCGTTTGTTACTTCGCCGCTTTTTTCCTATTTCGTTTATTTTTTAGAGCCTATAATGCGGAAATACGTCTTACGGATGTTGCGGTTCACTGCATTATTTATCCCATAATTTCCGTAAGTACACACTTTTGAATCAATCCGTCACAGACCTCAAGACATTCGACATGTAGCGTCTTTACTTGCATCAAACGTGAAATAAATTGTGCACAGAAACTGCAATAAAACCGCTTCCGGAGGGCATAAACGTTTTAAATTGGTTTTTTAAACCAACTGATATCGTTTCCTCAAATTGTATGATTAAGAGAAATTTTCAACTACTGCACCAGAATAAAATCCTAGACTTGATAAACGGCTATAACGAACCACATTTGCATTGCATTTGATGCGATATTTATTCGAAAAATATCTGACAGAATGTTCATACAAATAAATATTTATTATACCCATGAAACTCATGATTGATTTATTGATAATTATCTATTACGATCTTCCTATAAAAGTTTTGTCATCATCCATTTTATTTGGTGTTAATAATTTGCCCATATTCGTATACAGAAAAATGTTGATTCTAACATATTAAAACTAAACGATTTTGCAAATCAAAAAGCAACCATTTTTTGATTCTTTTCACTTAAAATCATAACATATAGCAAATAGCTCTAGATAATTTTAATGTAAATAAATTTAGTAATAATTCATTGGTTATGAATGTAAATTGTGGATACAAAGCCATTAGCTGTAATTATCATAATACCAAAATAACTCAAACAAATGACAACTCAATAGAAATGCCTTGTCTTGTTGGTGGCAATGGCAATGTAAAAAGCATTCATAATTTTGTCCTGTTTATTCAACCTTTTTTTACAAGGATGCAATTTGCATTTCCATTGAAACGCACTTTGATATTTGATACGAAATATGGAACGTGTCTTTGGACACCCCATCATAGTATGAAACTGTCTTGAAACCAATTTAACCAAACAACAATTTATAGAAAAACTCTTTTTCGATTTATCTTTAAAGATATCGCGAGGAATGGAGTAATTCTTTGCGGATAGAAAATCATCACCAGGTAAAAGGCGCTTGGATATATTTATTTCTATACTTTTGAAGCTGAACACTTTTGTATTGGATAGGATTTAAATCAGATTTTTTTATTTCACGGTAAATGATAACTTATCGTTTGAACACAATGAAGGAGAACCTCAAGTCTCAACGTTCCTATATACAACCCATTCTCTCTTAAAAAGTCAATTTTATGCCATAATTTTATCAGAGCAAGTTTCGACGAGACGTCTTGAAGTGTTCACTTCCAACCAATTCCCAGTCCTTTAATATTAAAACAAAACTTGCTTACACGATAATAAAATGGTATTTAAATAATTTTTATTATTCGATATTTAAAAAATAAATGTTTACTTCAATTTTGACGCCCATGTAGCAATTTTCCTGTCCAACAAGTCGAAAACTTTAGAAACATTGAAATTGTATATTACACTAATTACCACAACAAACTGTAATTTTTTTCACTTGGAATGGTTGATTATTGTCAAAATGTTGCATTTTTTGCAAGCTGTGCTATATATTAGCGTGTTTACTGCAGTGTTCCAAGATTTTTTTTAAAACACAACGAAATAAAATCACTTACGTCACGGCGCTAAGAAAACATTGCGGAATCAGATGTACCGTATTAAAAGGCTGCATTTTACGCCATCAAATTTTTGGCTTCAGTCCACAATAATTTCCATTGTGTGTGTTAAATTGTGGCGTTGCTAACGGAATGTTTCCGTACTTTATTGTTCATTGTTACCAACATAGTTATTTGAGGAAAGCTCCCTTGGTTGTCTTTGGAAGATCATATTATTTACAACACATAATTGAAATTGAGAAGCGCAAGTGGGACGCTGTTAAAAGTATCCATGCCCTCTTGAAAATACCTTGAATACACCATATTTCACTTAGAAATGTTGGAAATCTTCCGTGCACTTCCATATGAATTTATGTTTAATTTAAATGTAAATTTTATCGAAAATTAAATGACGCCTAATTTTAAAACATCAGGGATTGAGTGCCTACAACAAATTAAAAAACTGTAAAGCAAGATTAAAAGATCGAGTAAAAATGTTGTTCCATTTAATTAAAATTTACGATTATTTCGAGAATGTTGACGATGCAATTAAAAAGGTAAAAAGTAACAAGAGTGGAAACTGCGCTGTTCGTTGACACGATTTTATGTGATAGTGTGGCGTCTTGACGTCCATTGGACTAAACAAATCTCGAGAATTTGCTTGCATTCGTCTCTGACGAGTTTTATATCGCCGTTTGGGAGTTTTACACTCGACCAAGTGACCACAGAATAATTGCGAGGGGTTCAAGGAAACAAAAACATGAAAGTTTCGCTGCAAACACCTTTCATTGCAATTAATCACAGCGCAGAAGACGTCGTTTTAATTATGAAAAGTGAACCTCGCTCTTGGCGCTGTTTAATTATATCAACAGTTTTAAGTAGGAGCACATGCCACATGTTTGACTATTTCAAACCGTAAAGTTGTGGCTCGTTTTTTCTGTTGTCATTTGTAACATGTTTCTCTAATGAATGACAACAACTGGACCATTATCATTTAGAGCTTTGTGACAAAAAAAAATGTTTTGGTCTGTAAATCGATGGTTCTTTGTGTTTTATGGCTAATTATGAGATGTTCGGCTAATATGAATACTTTACAAAGTTTTAGGATAATGGGTTTATCGATGGGTTTTATCGTGGTGGACGTGAGGTTGAAAGGAAATCTGTGCTGTCGATATTTTGATTGCGATAGGATGATGTAGCTGTTTATCTCAGGCGGTAGAAAGGAAGTGAAAAAGAAAAATTGGCGATGAGAGGGTAAAAAAGCTCGAGTCTTAGCCGAGTTGTTTAATATGAAAATCAGTTGATTTAATTTTATTTGGCGATTATAAATTCCGGGCGCACGGAGGTTGTTGTTTGCATACAAAAGTCGGAATTTATCTGTTTATCACCGGAGCTGAGTGGATGTTAAACACTTTTTACGTTCGTCCTAATGATAGAAAACAGAAGAAGTACACGTGTTGTTTGCTCATCAACAACACCAACGTGCTAAGTGCCCGAGTTGGTGTAATAAAAATCATTTAGTGCTGTTTCTCAGTTATTAATCGACACTTACCTATAGATTATTACTCCCATAAAGCTCGGAACTAAGTCATCGTGTAAAATCACATTGACCGCGACAGCATGGGCCTCTGCGCTGAGACCCAGCCTTGAAAGTCTAGGACAAATAAAGCGCGCGAGCTTTCACAATTCTGGCACCAATCACTCGCGATATTATTGCAAAAATGCTGAAAAGTCGAGCATTTGACGGCGAGTGTGTTAGCCTTCGAGGCCCGGGAACGAAATAACTTATCTGGTCCGGCTGAGAGAGCAGCCGCTTCTCCCTTCTCTTCGGACGGGCACCGCTGGAACACGAAGGATTTTCGAACGTAGGTCGCAGACGCGTCGGCGCGTTTTACTTGCATCCCTTCCTCGCCTGCAACTACCCTCGGCTGTCTCGCTTTACCCCGTACTCTATTTTGAATTTCTTTGCCTGTTCGAGCTACCCCCGAGGTCGTTTCTATGATCCGTCTCGTATGGATTTTACCACCAATCATCGCAGGGGCTCTCGGTCACTGGCAAGCCGCCGATGCCGCAGTCATTGATGGAAAATATGTTTTATTCAATTTGACGTGGCTGTTTAAGGGCGACTAGCAAAGAAAAAGGGACGCGTTTTTCGGAATACTTAAGCTTATTTCGGCGATCCCTCAATTTTCGACGCCGACAGGGGATACAAACTGTAATTTCTTTATGTTTTTCGGCGGTTGTAAAAAGAATTCGCAAGAAGTGCCACATATTTTTGCGTGGATTTTTTTCTGATGACAAGGGCCAACGAGTGATGTTTGCGGTTTTAATTGCGAGAACGTTTCGAGTCTGCTTCTAAAGCTAAATTATTTGTTGCCAAGGACTGGAGTAAAAAGCTCGCCAATTAACAAAGAAAAAATATAGAAAAAACTAATTAAATTTGTTCTAGTGAGTGTATTGCGCAAGCTTCGCGAAAAGCTCGAGGGTATCAAGTGATTTTGAACGAATTATCTTCTGTTTTTGTTACCATACGTCTCTCTTTGTTACACAGTCGATAAACTTTGCTCTGCCCAATACAATACCGCTTGAAAAACGGGGAATTTACCCCCAGTTGCCAGTCAAGAAAGCGCATGCGTGGCGTCTTATACACGAGCTTTTGTTTTTAGTTGCTTAAAAGCTCGAAGTAGGATCCACGGAAGCTCGCAAATTAGTAGGCGGAACACACACAAACCCACCATAAATAAAAATTCCCACATTGAACAACTCTGTCGAGTAATTAAAACTAGCGAATAAAATCGAATTCATTTAGCGATTAGTTCGGCACGCGTTCCGCCGTTTTCCGAGCAAACAAAGGCTTAAATGGGGAGGTAGAATGACGGCGGTTGCGCCCCGGACTAGAGAAATAAAATTAGCGTAATTTTTTTCAGGACACAATTCGTTAGGCAACTTCGAATAAATTAGGGGTTTGGCCATTTACTTTTATTTATTTTTCGTGTTTTTCGGTCGGCTGGAATTGGAAAAACAAAAACAGTGTTATGGGAGGACGCGTGCGGTTTGTGCGAACAACAATTACGGGACATGCACACCGACGAATTTTCTCTCTCCCTTTCAGCGTCTCTGACTCTATTTAACCAAATTAAATTAGTTACCTGGGAATCAAACGGCCTCATCTGCGACAGCCCGATCTGGAAAAATTAATCCCATCCCGAAAATACTCGGATTTAATTAACCGAAAATTGAATCTGTAGAGAACGATTTTTATAAAACTGAATTCATAAATTTTATACTGAACTCACATAGTGGGTACTTTGATTAAAGATTTTTTATTCACTGTAAAATTATTGTGAGTGACATTTGAACTTGTAAACCTCTAACGTATTGACTATAATTCACAATTCTAATTTAAATTTTTAATTGATTTTGAAAAATACTTCAATATTTAGAAGCTAATAAATTCAGGTAATAGCTGGTTAAGTTTGTAAACATTTATAATCTTAACAATTGCCACTTATAGTCAACTTTTTCTAGTCAATCAATAAAGTTAACTTTACTATGCACGCTTACTGAAATGCGGCTAGTGCATTATGCATTCCCCATTTGTCCGTTGCAAAACAATCTAAAAATAGGCAAAACCATATTTCATATAAGAATAGGTAAAGACACATTATTATGTTTTAATTTTTATATAAATGAATGTATAAATTAAAAGTATGTAGTGGTATACCAGGTAAATAAAAAGTATGGAACCAGGCGTTTTTTTCGTAAACTAAGCACTTTACGAAAAAAATAATTACTTTAGCGTAAAGTACAATTAAAATGTGACCATTTATCAAGAATAACATTTTTCGAAATTTTTTTTAGGTTTCGAGTTCGGGAATTTTTTTTTTCAAATGGCAACCCACCATGGTAATTTTTTTAATTAAATATTATGATCTAAAAATGACCTCTAATTAAATAAAATTATTTTTTTGCCAGCACTTTTTTTTTTTTGATTAATTGTTAAAGTTGCGTTCCGAGCTCATCACGAAGATTTTCCCAACTTAACCTAAGTGGTTGTTTCATGCATTTCATCATAGGAGAGCGCTGATTTCTATGCAGGTGCTTTGGGGTGGTTTCGAATGGACTAAAAATAGAAGAAAATGATTTGTTATTAGATTTTTAGATCTATCCGGAACCACACCAAAGCACAAAAAACAAAAAACCGGGCTCTCCAACGACCAAAGTCATGAAACGACCCCCTCGTTCAAGTTCGGAAAATCTTCGTGATATGCTCGGAACGCAACTTTAACAATTAATTAAAAAAAAAGTACTGACTAAAAAACAACTCTGTTTAATTAGAGGTCATTTTTAGATCATAATCTTTAATTAAAAAAAATTACCAGGGTGGGTTGCCATTAAAAAAAAAAATTCCAGAACTCAAAAACTAAACGAAATTTCGAAAAATGTTATTCTTGATAAATGGTCACATTTTAATTGTACTTTACGCAACACTAGACATGAGTCTAACTTAAGAGCGCGGAATCAAACTATCGAGCGATCAAGATAATTTGTAATCCAGTCATCTTTGCATCTGAGAACGTATGTCCAACTGCACGTGAAACGTCAAATAAATTGACAAGTCGAAAGGTAAAACAGCAAAATGGGCTGGAATTAGTCGACGACGTATAATAATACGTGTAGAACCGCTCTTATTTGAAGGTAAATTACAAATTTAATTATTATAATCATCACCTTTTTAATCATGTCATTTTACCTTTCGACTTGTCATTTTACTTGACATTTAACAGACATACGTTTTCGGATCTAAGGATGAATCGATTACAAATTATCTTGATTGCTCGATATATGTATGTTCTTGAAGTAGTTTATTAAACGTTCCGTGGCGCTGCAACTAAAACTTAATAAAATATCTAGTAGACGGCAGTAACGCGGCAGGGTACTTCGTTCTTACTGGCTATTTACAACCCCTTTCTCAACTATAATAAGCTAGTACTAGTTTACCATCTATTTCAAAACCCTCAAAACTACAAAAAGTTAGTAACAGACTACGCTTAAACCGATCACAACTCTCAGTCATCAGCTGTGACATAAAATAATTAAATTAGTCTCCTGTCCTAAATAAAATATTGCTACGTCAGTTTTTAAGCGATTTTATCTTGTAGTGTAAGTAACGGACCATTTCTTGGGTGGTGATAAAGGACATCCAACTGAGTTAAAAGTTCTCATGACAAAAAATTGTTTCAGCCTTTTTTCAGTCTTTGATGAATATTTTCATAAAGCTTTTCTTTCATTAGAAAGAATAATGAAAAACGCGATATGTAATTGCCTTAACTAAACTACTATTGAATAATGAAAAACTTTTTGTTGCTGCTTAAACAATTGTTATTCAAACGCACTTAATCTGTAAAAAATGTTACATTTTAAAATTAAGCAGTGTTTGTCAGTTCCCCCACACCAGCGGGGGCTTTGAAAAACCCTATGGTCAATTCCAACACGGGTTGAAGAATTTGGGATTAAAGGATTAAGGTGCAGTGTGGGCAATATATATTTTTTTTAATTATGTGTCTATTATTCAATTTTTTTTTGTTTTTTGCGCTTTACGAAACAGCACAAGCACCAACTAGCGGCATTTGTTGCAACTGTGCTATTAGTTCTTAATGTTCTTGTAATTTGAAAAAAAAAGTAGATAAGCATTAAACCGTGGGTTATTCTTTACAAGTTTTAACAACAAGAAATTACCATATGCTGCTCGTACAGTGATGGACAGTGAATTTCGTCCACCCAATTTCTGTGAATTCACAAAAATTCACTGTAGTCTGTGCTTTATTGTCATGATAACTGACATTCAAATACGTAAATTTAATCAAATTTGAACATGCCAGCAGTAAGTGCGTTTAAAATAAAATAAAAATTATCTCTCTGGTACAAGAAGGTATGTCTGAAAGACGTGTCTCTATACTTTTGGGCATACCAAGAACTACCATTTCAAAGGACAAAGATAAAAAGTAGCAAGAAGCATCGAGCATTCTATCAACATGACAAATGTTAATCAAAATTCTGAAACAAGGTTAGGAAAACTTAAAGACTAATTTACACTTTTAATCTGTCAGGGAAATTGGGTGAACGAAATTCACTGTCCATCACTGTACTACAAATGGCTGATAAGGCTTTATTTAATAATTTGTTACAATTTCAGTATTTCAAAGTTGAGGTTATGTTCTTGGTCTTCTGATCGTTTTAATTTTTCATTTGGTTTATAGTTTTATAATGCAAGTAAAAAAATACGAAGAAAAAACAACTATTTGGAGGGAAAATCGTTGACGCTGTGAAAATTTCTGTGGTGTATTCTCAGATCATGTTGTGATGGTCGGGATGGCTAATGCCTGTTCATGCATAGTTTTTCCAACACATAATCGTGTGTTTAACTATATGATAATCAAGAAATAATCAAATTTTACTTTGAATTAAGCGAAAGTGACATTAAAGTTGACAGCATTGACAGCTATGTCAATCGTAGTGGATTGTTCCCAAGGTAATGGTACGCTCAAAATTCATACTTTTTGATTTTTCAGTGCGGTGTAGAGTTTAGTTTAAGCCCAAATAACTTGAGAACGGTACATTTTGGCGATATGGAACAAGAGTACCTTTTTTTATAAAAAAATGATTGCGCTTTTGATTTTTGGCATCAAAGTTATGACCCAAAAACTGTAAGGGTTCCATTGTTACAGAAATGTATAGCTTTTACATAGACTTCACTGTTGTGAAAACTTCTAGTTTTTTGAGAGTGACGACATAA